TATCACTTAGTATTCAGAGAAAGAATTTTGATGTCATTATTGTTTGCTGATAAACTACAAAAATAAAACCTATAAAGAGGAAATTTTCCCTGACCCTAAGATTACTATCGGGGCCCAGATATTAGAATTAGACCTTTTTAAAACACAAATTCCTCTTAAAACTTTGACCATACAGAAAAGACAATTTGCTGAGTCATAAAAGAAAATACTATTGTGGCTACTGTGTAACAGCCTTAATTTAACTGATTCTAATCTATGGACACTCTAATAAGTTTAACTCTAGTGACCTATAATAATAGCAAAGGAAACAAACATTTACTGATGATATATTTTTGAGCCAAGAATTGTTAAGCACTTTAATCCCAGTAAAGCCTCATACAAAATGTTTCATGTTGGAGTTATTTATGAGCCCCATTTTACAGGGAAAAATGAAACTGATTTATGTAACTTGTCCATGATCACAAAACCATTAAAGGTGGTAGAATTAGGGTATTAAAAAGTCAGTCTGACTCTGTATCTCTCAATCACTCTGTACTACTCACAAAACAATTAGGTCTTAGGAAAAAATATATTTGTTTGCTTCATTAAATATTCCTCATTTTGAGAACTTAGCTGAAAAACATTCAGTCTTGCCAAGGACACTGTGTTCAATCCTGCTGAAACAAACAGGAAAACTCTGCACAGGAAAACTCTGCACACATATAATTTGAAGCTACTGTTTGAAAATAAAAATACCATTATTTATTCATCCAAAGTTTAGATCATTTTATCCCTATATATGAGACAGAATCCTTTTAATATTCTATTTCAAACCTATTTTGGATTCTCATACTTATAATTAACAATAACATTACAGTAAACTTGACCACCTACAAAGCTGGCCTACCCTAATCTGACTAGCTTTTTCCAAACCAATTCAAATTGCAAAAAAGTTATTGTCTAATTTTTAAATTTGGTCCAAGAAAGGTAAATACACTACTGATAGAAAACACTGGATGGCCAGGGATTTAGCTCAGTGGTTCTGGCGCCTGCCTCACAAGTACAAGGACCAGAGTTCAATCCTTGGTACCAAAAAAAAAAGAAAACACTGGATGGTAAGCATGACTGAAAAAAATAAATGAATGATTAATAAATTAATGTGAAAAGACAAGAGGTAAAGTAGGAGTGAGGGAAAAATATGATTGGTAAACAATAGACCGATATTCAGCAAAGTTCATATTGTTCTTAGAATATGTCATGGCTTGTGTGTAGATGCCTCCGCCCGCCCCCACAAAGCCCCATGCAGTCAGTCATAGGTGGGGCTTTTCAGAGGTGGCTGGATCTAGAGTGTGTGACTCTGGGATTGATTTATACTGCAATGCTGGGCTCAAGGGCATTATTATTAAAGATGTGTTACCTGCCCTATGTAGACGGGATAAGATACAGGGAAAAAGAGAGCTGTGGTCATCCCTCATTGCTTTGCTATCTTCTGCCTGATATAAACTGCTTGTCCTCTGTGACGCCTGTCAGCTCTGCCACCCTGCCTTGGAGCCAGGTGATTATGGACTGAAACCTCTACAAACTGAGAGCTAAAAAACTTCTCCTCTTTTAACTTTGGGTGTTGGGTATTTTATCTCAGCAATGAGAAAAGCAACTAAGACAGAATTTGGTACCAGAAAAGCGAGGTCATTGCTGTGATAGTACCTGGCCATGTGGCTCAAGAGCCTTTAGACCCTTTAGAGGAAGAATTAGGAAAGGTTTGGAGATGTTGGCTAAAAAGGTAAAGCTGGAATGCCTTAGGCTACACTTGATGGAAGATTCTGATCAGAGCTCAAAAACCAGAATGCTGATAAAAATGCTGCCAATAAAGACCAGGCTCAGGAGGTTTTTGCTGGGCAAAAGGACTGCATTGGCTGTTGAACTCCAGAAATGTGTTATAGCTTGGCAGTAAGTTGGTCTGCAATTTGCTCATGTTCAGAGTCTTTGCCTGAGGCTGAGATTAAGGGTGTCAGAGCAGAAGAAATTTCAAGACAGTCTAATGTTGAGGTGGTGTCGTGGCTATTGCTGGGGCTTTTAGCCAGACTTACATTGCGAATCAAGAGCAAAGAGCCCAGAAGAATGATTCAAAATGTTGTGAGACTGGCCAGAAAGGAAGCACCAATAAAGTTGTGGCCTGAAAAGATGGAACAGAGGAGAAACTGGTCACTCAAAAGACTAGCAAGAAAAAGCCAAGTATTTCAGAAGAAAAGAACAGAGAATATGGCCTGGGAACATCACAAGGACCAACAGGACTCCAGCCTTTGCAGCCTCAGAGTTGAAAAGATGAAATGATTTGCTTTAAGAAGAGAACCCCAGAGCACCATGTTATAGAATCATTGACGGTCTAGAGAGCTTATTCTCAGGATTGCATTCAGAGTGCTTAGTGATCCAGGCACTTGACCCCTGTGGCCAAAAGAGAAGGAAGCCTCACTACTGGCAGCAGACTTTGGCATCATCTACGTGGCATTGGTTTTAGGTGTATGCAGAATTCAAGAGTTGTGGAGTCAAGAAGGCTTCCACCCAGATTTCAGAAGAAAACATGGGAGGACAGGCACTGTGCCCCTGACAGAGCAGTGTGAGAAGCTGTGAATCGGAAGCCAAAGGTATACTAGTGGGAGACCCAAGAAGCCTGAAGAAGACAAGAATGTGGATTGTTTGAGCAAAAGCGCATAGAGGGAGCAGGCCGGCCTCAGAGAGAACCCATGGGGGCTACCACCACCAGCGGTGCACTAAAGGTGGAGCCACCCAAACAATTTAGAGTTCATAACTTGCCATAGATTGCCAGACATGCTGGAAGTGGAACTGTGGGACTTAATGTTTGCCCTGCTAGATTTGGGTCTTGCTTTGTTCCCATTCCTTGCTATCTCTCTGTCTGTAACTTTTGGAATGGAAATGTCTATTGTGTGCCATTGAATGTTGGAAATGTTTGTGCAGGGGCTCTCATGCATCCAAGAGTTTGCCTTAAATCTCCGAGCAGACTTTGGAATTGGACTTTTCAGCAATGCTGAAACTGTTAGGACTTTGGCAACTCTTAGAGATGGACTAAATGCCTTTGGCATAAAAGGATGTGCATGAGTCATTGAGGGAAAAGGGGTAAAATGTTATGGTTTGTGTCCAGATGTCCCCTTCAAAGCCTCATGCAGTCATAGGTGGGCCTTTTCAGAGGTGGCTGGAACTAGAATGTGTGATGCTGGGTTTGATTCATGGTGGAGTCCTAGAATCGAGGGTACAGGATTAAGATTGTGAGAGCTCCCTCCCTAAGTAGCTTAGATAAGACATAAGGGATAGAAAGGGCTGTAGTCATCCCTTATTGCTTTGCTACATCTTCCCACCATGCTTCCCCTCTGTGATGCTTGTCTGCAGTGCCACCCTACCTTGGCATGAGCTGAACATGGTCTGAAACCTCTACAAACTGTGAGCTAAACTTTTGCTCCTTTAACTTTGGGTGTCAGGTATTTTATCTCAGCATTAAGAAAAGTAACTAAGATTGCACGATCTGAGACTAAGCATCATTTTAGCTTAGTTACTAACCACCTCTAAAATTAGGTCATAGAAGGTCCAATACATGCAGAGAGCTCTTCACGCAGACAAGGCCCCATAAGTTCCCTCTTTTTTAAATCTTTGAGATCAACTAAAACCTCTTGTACAGAAAACTCACGTGCAATAATAGTAAGGGTGTCTATGACAGGGACTCAGTGTCAATAAGCCGACCCAGGTGACCTTTTACACTGCAGGGAAAGTGGACTGTAACCGATAGCTGAGCTAAAGGGTACAGCTTCCTCAGTAACAATGGGCACAATGGCTGAGTGCTTAGTGCATCCCTACCGTGTAGATGAGAGACTGAAGCTCAGAGGCACTGACCAGTCCAGATTCACAGTTTGAAAAAGACTGATTTACACTTGCATCTGACTCTACAGATTAAGCCCCTTGTGCTAGTGTCCAGGCTGCCTCTTTCAGTGTTGCCCAAAATATAAGGAAACTAGATGTAACGGTGGCACAACATTAATGAATTTCTATGAATAACGACGAGATGGAAAAAAAGCACAACTGATTTAGTATGGTGGCTGGATTAAAGGTGAATATTTACTTTTAATTTTATTTCATCATACTGTAGAAGATACTATGGTCCTGTTTAAGTACGACTATCATTTTTTCAATTAGTGAAATTCTACAAGCTTTTAATGTCATTATAACCCACCCTAATGCTGAGTCAAAATAAACACTACTATTTCTCTGGATCATGCCTTGGTCTCTGCATATGTAGAAGCATCTACTGTGGAGTTCGTGGACAACATAATTTAAATGTTTTAAATATAAAACCCTCTTTGATCATATGCTCATTTCACTCACTCTAAATTGCTGTATTTAGCTCTTTAGGTGATTTAATATAAAGGACATTTATGCAGAGCTCTACTTGTAGAAAAAAATTATAAGCTCAACCATACTATTCATTGAGTGGGCTTTATCAAAGCACACTTGCTGACATTAAAATTTAAATTTAAATTCTGACTGGTATCGAGGATCTTCACTCTTTTGTCATTGGAAGAGAGAGGGTTGATTTGCATAATGAAGGCAGATGTGAAAATTTCTTGCCCTCTTCCTGAAATTTTCCAGTATGTTCTCTGTCCAATGTCCCAGGATTTAATGGTTGCTATAAAGTCTCCTTAGGGGAAATGGAGAAAGTTAACCATCTCACAAAGATTGATATTAAGTAGGTAATCTGGGAAGCTAAAAATGTCCTGCAGTGCCAAAGAAAATGTCTTCACTCCCACCAATGCCAATATCACCCTTCTCCACTGAGCAACACTGGTAGCCTAAAAGCTGGGCCTGTCCCCCAGAATGATGGGCCACAAATGTTGTGCCTCATCACCTGGATATTTTAGGCATCCTAGAGCAAAGAAGGAGAATCATATCACTCAGGGGTATGAAGAGATTTTTTAAAAATACATAATCACCACTAATTATGTTACTTGATTTTTTAGGAAAATGTGGAAGATGGCCGAGCAAGTATCTACAAATCTGTCATCACCAACACCAGCAAAGAAATGTCCTGTTTCAGTGACTTTCCAATGCCTGAAGATTTCCCTAACTTTTTGCACAATTCTAAACTTCTGGAATATTTCAGAATTTTTGCCAAAAAGTTTGATCTTCTAAAATATATTCAGTTCCAGGTATAGTACTTTGGGGGAATCAGTTTTTCTTTATTAATCTAGTTCCCATTTAAATAAAAAAGCTACTCTGATGATGAAAAAGCTGTGAATAAGTTATCCCACTCCAATTTTTTGTTGAAGTGTATGAACATGATACCAAATCCCAAAAGTAGTGTAATTACCCCTGACATTATAGATTGTTTATATTAACAGAAGAGAATCACCTGCTAAAGCTTGAATGATGATAATACTGATGGTAAAACTACATTTGAATGAATATTTCTCATTACCATTGAATGTTCTTAGCTTCACTTCCCTTGAAAAGATGTATGGAAAAAAGTCAAACTACTGTTAATTTTTTTAACTTCTGTATAAAAATGAGATTTCTTAGACATGTGTTTTTTAAACTCCCTATTCTCTCTCCATTTCAGAAACCCTTGAAAATAATTTTTGCTAATTCTTTTTCCTGGATGCAATTTCTAGCAATAATAAGATGGTCAGATCATTTTGAAATATACTTGGAATTACCTGATAATCTACATTCTATTAAAAATTAATAAAATGAAGAGCCAGGGATTTAACTCAGTGGTTCCACTGTCTGCCTTGCAAGTTCAAGTTCCCAAGTTCAATCCCTGGTACCAAAATAAAAAATTAATAAAATGAATGTCTCCTCATACACACACAAAAGAAGTCCCATAGACAAACTACAAAGCTTTAAACGAAAAGACAATGTAATCATTATCAGCACTTCTCAAATTTTAATGTAAGAATCACCTGGAGAGCTTGATAAAATATGGATTCTGATTATACAAGCATGGGGTGAAGTGTGACGTTCTACATGTCTAACACACTCTTGGGTCATTGATGTGGTCCTTCAACCACAGTTTGAATAGCGAAGATTTATGGTACTTTATAGTTAATATGATATTCTGAACTACAAAACTAAAATCTTTACTCTCATGGGAAAATTGTCTACATATTTTAAAGCCCCTTTTCACATTCTTTCTACTTCTATTCATATACACTTTTAAAATTGAGACAGCTCCAAAAAATCACCAACCCAGTATTTCGAAAAATATCTGAAAATTTTGCAAGGTATAGTGTATTAGTTTGCTTTTAGACACTAACAAAATAACAAGATATCTTAGTTTAAAAGAAGAAATATTTGATTCTGGTCAGAGTTTCAAAGGTTTCAGTCTATGGTCAGTTGGCCCCATTACCACTGGGCCTGTGGAAAGGCAGTATATCCTGATCATGGGGGTGCGGGGAGACAGTAGTGGGGCAGTGCTACCTGCCTCATGGTACCGGAGAAGCAAAGATGGAGGAAGGTCCTGACTCTCAATCTTCCCCCTTCAAGACCATATCTCAATGACCTAACACCCTCCCATTAGGCCCCATCTCTTCTAGTTGTACCACAACCCAGCAGTCAATGGCCCAGGGCCCAACCTTTAATACATGGGCCTTTTGGGGACACTTATTCAAGCATAATATGTATATAGCAGTTTTAGATTCTTGCAATCATGAGGAGAAGCATGTCATTCCTCTAAAAGGGAGCAAGTTTTGCTTTCATTTGTCATTGTTTCTTAAATACAATGGCCATGAAGTAGTTATGAAGACTTTTAAAAACTAATAGACCTCCCGACAATACATTATTTAATTCAGATGAGATCATGAACTGTAGTGCTAGCATCATATACTCTAAAAAAATAATTAACACTGACAACTACCATTCCAAGGAGTGCTGACAATATTCCAGGCACTCTGCCCAGCATTTCCCATGAAATATTTTCCTTAATCCAGAGTCCATCCTGAGGTAGACACATAAAAGATTCCTGACAAATGCTCACTAGACCCCCTCCCTGAATTATATGTGTTTTGTATCCTTGTCCAGACCTCACCTTCTTTCTCTTTTCTCACTCAAGTCTGTATTCAAGACAGCACCCTTTACCCACTAGTTCCCACTGCTGACTTAAGACTTTTGCACAAAGCATCATGTCCTTAGTGCTGCTTGCCAAGGAACAATGAGACTGGCACACTGAGCAGCCTAAAATGAACTCCAAAAATGAAACAAATAAACAAACTGGAATTACACATTGTACTCTATCCATCCATACTTCCAGGGCCCTGGACAAGATCCATGTTATGCCAGAGTACTTGTTAATGATGTCTTCTCTCTGTTTGTTCAAGACAACTGTCCTCTCTGTGAAAAAACACCCAGATTTCTCATCATCTGGCCAATGGGAGGTTGTTACTCAGAGCGATGGCAAGGAGCAAAGTGATATCTTTGACACAGTTATGGTTTGCAGTGGTCACCACATCCAACCACACATCCCACTGAAGTCATTTCCAGGTGAGGGTTGTGGGGAGTCTTTGTTAGAATAGGTTTCTAGGAATTTTATATCCAGTCAGATTGACAGGCAGGACTGGCTGCCTAAGATTAGGATAGAGCCCTGCTAACTTCCTCCAAAGTCACTGTGTTTTCCAGAATTTCAGAGAATTCTCACACTACTCAGCTTTCTGTGGGGGAAGCTCTTCTAGCCATGTGCCTATCTTGGCTTTTTTTCTTTTTTCTTTTAATCTTATTGGGTTTAATGGTACTTTTTAAATATACCATACAGTTACATTCATCATTGGGACCTTGAACCCTTACGTGACAGGTCTTGGTTCTCATTTTTCCCCCATACCCCTGCCTTCCCTTCACCCGCTCCACCCTCCCCTATCTACAGACACTTTGTTTCCATTTTTTCCTTTCCTACTGAACACATGCAAATTTGTTTTGTCTTTTAAGTCTTTCCCTTCAGAATTTACTAGACAGAGGTTCTGGAAATAAATGCTGCTCTAGAACAGTAATGGGAGAGGAGTATAGGAAAGGAACCCTACAGCCATCAGTCCTGAAGCTCCCCAAGCCCTTTCCTTGGAGAATACAGTTCCTTCCCGGACTCTCAGGTTGTGGATGCAGCCTCACACCAGATCACCAGTGGAGCTTCTGAATCCCTGATACCTGAGCACAGTCCCCAAAGAGCCACACACTGTAGGTAGAGTCAGGGAAATCAAATTTGCTCGAGTGATTTAAAATGCAGTTAGCCTTGAGCCCCACTGGTCAACAGTAATGGTTCCCAAACAGAATCATTGGGAAGACTTTAAAATACAAATTTCTGGGATCCACCTAAGATTCCTGAATCAGTAGTTCTGGCCTAGGGACAAAGATCTGTATCTCTAACCCCTTCCAAGGGACTCCATTTTATGAACCAGTGATTAAGGTCTTTTCAAGTAACTCCACCATGAAAGGCAAATACTTTAATGAAGTCACGGCTTGCAGGGAAGTATGAAAGGACATGGAAGGTTTATCTGCAATTAACAACCAATCAGTTATTGGCATACTGAATGTGCAGCTTCTGTGCTTTTGGTTTATTTTAGTTTTCGTTTACTTTCACAAAATCAGGATAAGTGTTAGTCTTGTATTATAAAATTACAATGATGGTATTTAATAATGTGTTTAAGAAATATTTAAAAGAATATCTGCTATATGCTATATGATACTAAAGTGTCATTAGACAGTCCAAAATAAGACAATAATCAGAATAAGAGAATAGTCAGAACCAGCATCTACTCTGCATCATTCATCAAAACTAGTGTTTTGTTGGCTAAGTGCACACTCCTTTCTCTGCATTAAGCCTCTCTGGGGTCTTGCACAGCATGATGGTACCTAATATTTCTATAGTTTCTTACTTTGAGCTTGCCAATTGACCCTGATGTTGTAACTCCTGTAAAAGGGGAAGAGGGAGACAAATGACTGACCCTGAAAAGAAAAAGTTTAGAGGTTTATTAAAGGTAGCTTGATGTAATTGTTTACATGGAAGTTCACAGACTTTTCTTTCCCTTGAAGGTATTGAGCGGTTCAAAGGCCAGTACTTCCATAGCCGTCAATATAAGTACCCAGTTGGATTTGAGGGAAAACGCATCCTGGTGATTGGAATAGGAAACTCAGCCTCAGATATTGCCTCTGAGCTGAGTAAAAATGCTGCTCAGGTATGATTCTCTCTGCTTACCTCATACTATGGGGGAGATGAAGGAGAAGAGGTGCATTCAAGAATTCCAGCTCTATAAACCAAGTACTCATTAATTAGCTGGATGCCCACTGTGCTATCTCAGAAAATCTGGAATTCAAGAGCCACAGTTGATCTCCCAGCTCTGCCACTAATCAGTCTTTATCCTAGACTGAGTCATTCCATTTCTTTAGACTGTGGTTCACTCATTTATTAAATAGAAAATTCAACTCGAAGATTTTCTGTGTAATAGGCCTACTTTCTTCCCAGTGGACTTAATGAGAAGCTGATGTGTGCCTACTTGGGAGAGTGACTTTTAGAAATTTAGTGCTATTCAAATTATATCTGAAGTATAGATAATCCTCAGTGACCCATGAAAAGAAGATATGATAGGTGATAAGAGTCCCAAAGCAAGATCATAGAGTCCCAAAAAAGATCATAGGCATTGAGATACTATCTGAGGCCTTCAAGACACTTGTCTTTGTAACTGCACAAAAATTACACCAGCTGAAATGTCAAAGAGTCAAGCATCAAAAATATAAATAATGTCGATGGAGATGGTAACATTCTGGGACAGACCTGGGAAAAGATGGAAAAACTGCTAATAGTCATTTCCCAATGCATCTCCTCTCAACAAGACCTAACTCAGGAGTCTTACTGCTCTTAAACTAGTTTCCTCAGCCTTGTATCTTTTGCTATATAAGACTTAACCATGACCACATTCATGGCCAGCAAAACTTTACTATCCCAAGTAGTAGGATACTACTAGTAACTTTACTATCCTAAGTAGTAGGATACTACTGAGGGCTTGAGATTACCCAAAGCAAACAAATATGGTGCCTCCCTAGCAGGCTAATGAAGGGTTTATACTGGACCTCTCAAGTCATCATTGGTCAGAGCCAACCTGTGAATGCAGTAGGTTAAGTAAAAGTAAATAAATAAATAAACTTCACTACATCTAAGAAGTCCTCACCTTTCCTGTGAAAAGAAGTCACATTTTACTCTTCAAGCCTGTAAGACCTCAGCATGAGGAATCTGCGAAGAGGCAATGACTATACGAGTTTAGAGAATAAGAGTAGGGCAGTGGGAACTACTGGACTCAGTCTCCCTCACACTGGGAAAACCTACCACATGAACAAGAGGAGAGGAGTATGATGGAAAAAGTAAAAGGAGCCAAGCTGACTTAACTGTCAACCATGTGAAGATACATCCTAGATCATGGCGTGTGGTTAGGTCAGTGATACAAACTTAGAACAGTTGTTCCAAAGATATCAAACCATGGATTGTTAAGAGTCAACAGGGTTATGCCTGTTTAAAATCTTGCTTATGATGCCAAATTCAATATTAAGAAATTATACTGGCAATATTTGTGTGACATATAACTCATTAAACAATCTTTTGCATAGGTTGTCTCTTCAATACTGATTAATCATATAAATCTAGCATTACAATAAAACCTCCCATACAAAGTAATTATACTCTCAATTCTTCTTGGGGAGGACTTATCAGAGAATTTACAAGAGCTATGTATGTAATAGATGGAACTAGGTCCCTCAGCAAAGCTTAACATTACAACCTAAACTCACCAAAATCCTGAGTATGTTCATGGGATACAGAACCATCTTCCACAGCCCCAAAGAATCATTCAAGATACTAAGGGTGGTGCTGTGCCACTCACACACTTCTCACCAAAGCCAAATCTCTGGCTCTGAGGCTGAAGCAAGCATCTCAGAGAAAGCAGCCTGAGCCTAAGTATTAAGACTCTTCCCCACAAAATTTGTCTTCAAATTCTAGCTCACTCTCCAGATGTGGAGCATTGTCTTAAATCCCCTGCTGCAGCCTAAACTTATAAAATAAGAGATAGCCGTGCTTATACTTTCCAGCAATATTTTAAATACTTTGCTTTTCACTTCATTTAATCTAAGCAATAATGTCATGAGATAGGTACTGCTATGACCCCATTTTAAAGAGAAAGAAACGGATGCAGAGAGAGCTTGGAATAACTCATCTAAAGCAACTCGGCTAGTGAGTAGGGGGCTGGGATCCAAAAGCAGGCAGTGTGGATTCAGAACCCGTGACCTTAACCTCATAATGTGAATTAAATTCCTTGCAAATGAACCTCATTTGATTATGAAGGACAGCCTTAAACAACAGAACTCATAAAATGATTGCAAAAATTTGAGAAGCCCTTTACATATGCATTTGGACCATGGAGGAATAATGGTAAAAAAGGAAAGAAATACATTTTTGAAGATTTGTATTAGACCAAAGGTCTTCTCACGTCTCTGTTAAATCCTGCTCTGTCAGTGTAAAAGCCACTAGAGACCCCTTTTATGATCAGTTTGCCAAAGAGCAGTGAAAACAAAGAGGACTTCATTTTGAGGTCAATCATCTGCAAAGAAAACCTCAGTAAATTCTGGAAGCAAACACAATATATACCACTGTACAGTAGATTCTTCCCAAAGGGGACAATGCCTGAATTTAAACTACATTACTTTTTGCTTACCAGGTATTCATCAGCACCAGAAGTGGTTCCTGGGTCATGAGCCGAATCTCTGAAGATGGTTATCCATGGGATATGGTGTTCCACACTAGGTTTAAATCAGTGCTCCGAAATATCCTGCCACGAAGGGTTCTCAAATGGATGATGGAACAACAGACAAATCATTGGTTCAACCATGAAAATTATGGTCTGGAACCTAAAAACAAGTAGAGTTATTTTGCTTTTTATGGTATACTCATTGATTAGCAAGGTTGTCTGAAGGTGCCTTCCTTGACAATGATACAAAATGCTAACCTGGTAGTTTGAACTACAACCTCACAGTATATGCATGATATAGGTCCTGGAGTTTGAATTCTAAATTTTTTCTATATGTCTTAAAAACATATCAAAGAAGATGATGCAAGAGAATTATAAGTAGCTCCAAAAAGCAGAATTAGGGTTGGTGGAAAGAACTTCCTGACACCTAAAGTTGTCCAATATTGGAGCAGACTTCTTCAAGAAGCTAATAGCTTTCTTTCCAAAGGGATGTGGTTAGAAGCATGTAACTCTCCATCTGACAAATTATGCTTTGTTAACTCTATATCATGAGCATTCTTTCCATGGGCAGGTTTTTAGAACAAAGTCCCTTCTCTTTGCCAAAGACAAATATTTGTTGATCTCCAAGTTATACATCATTGACATTATAAGCACAAGCAAAACATTGTAGATGTTTATTTTTCCTTAGTTGATAGCAGGGCCCTTCCTTTAAAAAAAAAATAGGTCTTTAAAATCTTATAACAAACGTCATGCAATTGTATTCAGAGACTGAACAAAATAATTCTCAAATATCCAAAAAGACCTCCAGAAATACAACCAGACTGCTCCATCATCAGTACCCATCTATCCATCTATCATAAATACTCAACAGAATTTGAGATCAACAAATACCACCAAGCCTAGTTTTATCCATTCATTTTTATCTCATCCTTATTTATGATTAGATAGAAATTAAACAGAAAAATAATTAAAGCTAGGTAACACAAAAATGGTAGAAGCACAAATAGGATAATAATCACCAATAACCATAATAATATGGTTACTTTGGCAATAACCATAAATGCTGGCATTTGATCTAAGCCTTTGGGGATGCTTTCTTTTTAAAAATGACTTTAATTGAGCCTGGTGTGGTAGCCCACATCTGTAAACTCACCACTTGGAAAGCTGAAACAGGAGGATTACTGCAGGTTCAAGGCCAACCTATGTAGCAAAACACTATCTCAATAAAT